CTGGGATTGGCCAAACCCCCCTGTACCCAAAATTTTGGGGGGCTGGGATTGGCCAAACCCCCCTGTACCCAAAATTTGGGGGGGCTGGGATTGGCTAAACCCCCCTGTACCCAAATTTTGGGGGGCTCTGATTGGCTAAACCCCCCTGTACCCAAAATTTGGGGGGGCTCTGATTGGCTAAACCCCCCTGTACCCAAAATTTGGGGGGGCTCTGATTGGCTAAACCCCCCTGTACCCAAAATTTTGGGGGGCTCTGATTGGCCAAACCCCCCTGTACCCAAAATTTTGGGAACTGAGAACTCCCAAATCCTATTTTTCCGGGATTTTGGGGGGCTGGGATTGGCCAAACCCCCCTGTACCCAAAATTTGGGCAACTGAGAATTCCAAAATCCCAATTTTTCCAGAATTTTGGGGTTCAAAAAGTGCCAAAATCCCGAATTTTTCTGGGATTTTGGAGTCTGGGACTGCCCAGACCCCCCTGTACCCAAAATTTGGGAAACTGAGAATTCCAAAATCTTATTTTTCCTGAATTTTTGGGATCTGGAAGTGCCTAAATCCCAAATTTTCAGGATTTTTGGAGTTTGGTGTTCCCAAAAATCCGATTTTTTGTGGATTTTTGGGGTCTGGGAGTGCCCAACCCCCCCTGTACCCAAAATTTGGGGAACTCAAAATTCCCATTTCCTCATTTTCCACAATTTTGGGATTCTGAATATTCCCAAATCCCCAATTTTTTCGGGATTTTGGGGCTCTGGAAGTGCCTAAAACCCAATTTTTCAGGATTTTTGGAGTTTGGTGTTCCCAAAAATCCAATTTTTTGTGAATTTTTGGGGTCTGGGAGTGCCCAACCCCCCCTGTACCCAAAATTTGGGGAACTGGGAATTTTCACTTCCTCTTTTTCCTGGAATTTTGGGGCTGGGCGAGGCCAAATTTCCTTTTTTTTCCAAATTTTTGGGGTCTGAGAGGGCCCAAATTGGAATTTTTTGGGATTTTGGGGGCTTGTGGTGCTGTCAACCCCAATTTTCCTGGGATTTTGGGGAAAAATTCTGAATTTTTTGGGGATTTTGAGTAAAAAATCCTGATTTTTCTGGGATATTGAGCAGAAATGCCCCAATTTTCTGGGATTTTTGAGTAAAAATCCTGATTTTTCCTGGGATTTTGGGTAAAAATCCCCATTTTATTGGGATTTTGAGTAAAAATCCCCATTTTTTTGGGGATTTTGAGCTAAAATCCCCAATTTTCCTGGGATTTTGAATCGAAATTCCAAAATTTCCCATGATTTTCATTTAAAATTCTGATTTTTCCTGGGATTTTGAGTAAAAATTCCCCTTTTTTTTGGATTTTGAGTAAAAATCCTGAATTTTCAGGGAATTTTGCAAAAAAAATCCTGATTTTTCCTGGGATTTGGGGTAAAAATCCTGAATTTTCCAAGAATTTTGAGAAAAAAATCTGATTTTTCCTGGGATTTTGAGAAAAAATTCCTAAATTTTCTCGGATTTGGAGCTGAAATTCCCAAATTTCCCAGGATTTTGTGTAAAAATCCTGATTTTTACTGGGATTTTGAGTAGAAATCCCCAATTTTCCCAGGATTTTGACCAAAAATCAAAATTTTCCTGGGATTTTGTTCAAAAATCCTCAATTTTCCCAGGATTTTGACCAAAAATCCCCGATTTTCCAAGGCTATTCAGCCAAAATCTCCAATTTTCTGGGATTTTGAGATAAAATCTTCAATTTTCCTGCAATTTTGAGTAGAAATCTCCAATTTTCTTGAATTTTAAGTACAAATCCCCAATTTTCCCCATTATTTTGATCCAAAAGTCTCCAATTTTCCTGGGGTTTTGATCCAAAATCCCAATTTTCCCATTATTTTGATTAAAAAATTCCAATTTTCCGGGAATTTTGATCAAATTCTCCAATTTTCCTGGAATTTTCAGCCAAAACCTCCAATTTTCCCGGGATTTCCACCCCAAATCTCCAATTTTCCCAGGATTTTGAGCTAAAATCTCCAATTTTCCTGGAATTTTGATCAAAAGCTCCAATTTTCCTGGAATTTTGATCAAAATCCCCAATTTCCTGGCATTTTCAGCCAAAATCTCCAATTCTTCCAGGATTTTGAGTAGAAATCTCCAATTTTCCCGGGATTTCGACACAAAATCTCAAATTTTCTTGAATTTTAAGTACAAATCCCCAATTTTCCCATTATTTTGATCCAAAAATCCCCAATTTTCCTGGAATTTTGATTTAAAATCCCCAATTTTCCTGGAATTTTCATCAAAAATCCCAATTTTCCTGTGATTTTGATCAAATTCTCCAATTTTCCCGGAATTTTCAGCCAAAATCTCCAATTTTTCCAGGATTTCCACCCAAAACCTCCAATTTTCCCAGGATTTCCACCCCAAATCTCCAATTTTCCCGGGATTTTGACCCCAAAATCTCCAATTTTCCCAGGATTTTGATCAAAAATCCCAATTTTCCTGGAATTTTGATCAAATTCTCCAATTTTCCTGGAATTTTGATCCAAAATCCCCATTTTCCTGGAATTTTCATCAAAAATCCCAATTTTCCTGGCATTTTCAGCCAAAATCTCCAATTCTTCCAGGATTTCGACCCAAAATCCCCAATTTTCCCGGGATTTGGACCCAAAATCTCCTATTTTCCCAGGATTTTGAGCCAAAATCTCCAATTTTCCTGTGATTTTGATCACAAATCCCAATTTTCCTGGAATTTTCATCAAAAATCCCAATTTTCCCATTATTTTGATCAAAATCTCCAATTTTCCTGGATTTTTGATCCAAAATCTCCAATTTTCCTGGAATTTTCATCAAAAATATCCAATTTTTCTGGGATTTTGAGCAGAAACCTCCAATTTTCCCGGGATTTCGACCCAAAATCTCCAATTTTCCCGGGATTTCGACCCAAAATCTCCAATTTTCCCAGGATTTTGATCAAAAATCCCAATTTTCCTGGAATTTTGATCAAATTCTCCAATTTTCCTGGAATTTTCATCAAAAATCCCATTTTTCCTGGAATTTTGATCCAAAATCCCCAATTTTCCTGGAATTTTCATCAAAAATCTCCA